TCCGATCATATTCTTAAGCTCAAATTTGTTTACATTTTGAGTATACTCTAAAAAGGAAAGTGAATTAAAAGGAAGTGAAGAATTTAACAAATTTGACGAAGTAATAAGTTAAAATTTTTATAGTTGTTTAAAATATTTTAAATTGTACTTGTTTAAAGCTATTTATATAATATTCTAATAAAAATAAACTTTGGTACAGTTTATTATGTTTCAAAATCCGTTAAGTGAGAGTGAAGTTCCAAATAATCTATTACAGTTTCAAACTCCAATAACTTGTGACCGCTTTCACGAAATTTCAAACGAAGAGCTTATTCTAGTTAATGATGAAAATACACAACATACTTTTTATCATAATTATCCTTCCAATCCATATATTCATGCTATTAGAAAGTTTGGTGGTAAAAATTATTCCCAATCATATAAAATTATATCTCTTGGACAATATCCTACAAAAGTAATTTACACTAGAAAAGAAAAGGGAATAAATTATAAAGTTCCGAATAATTATCAAGTAGAAACAACATTAAGTGGACTAACAGTTTTATGTAAAACACAATATCAATTTTCGCGTAAAATTGCAATTAAATATATTATTGAATGGACAGATGAAAATGATCAAATAAAGTCAAGATATAGCTTGTCATCAGCTGGGGCAGCAGGTTCTTTATTTTTAAAAGTAAGTTTATAAATTAAATTGTATACAATATTTATTATAATTAATAATCTTTATAATAGGAAATATGTAATAAGCCCAATTCACGAGTTGCTGGTACAATACTTTTTGGTCTAGATATAAATTTTTTACAACAAATGCGCGAAAATATTACACAACAATCTACTATATCTGCTAATCGCAAACGATGTTTTACTGAACTTAAATCACAATCACAAAAAAATAAACGTATTACTATGGTTGGAAAGGAAATTGCAGCACAAACTTTAACAATTCTCAAAAATAATAAATTTACCTCACCATCTGAAGAAATTATAGTAACAATTGAAGCTATAGTTCTTAAAATTAATGGGGAAATTGTAGAATTACATTTTTATTCTAATAATATAACTGATTTTACACAACATTTAGATTCAATCATCCGTGCCTGTGATGAAACATTAATTTCGCGTGATAGTTATCGCAGGCTAGCCAAAGCAGTTCCAAATTTAATAAGAGAATATATAATTGAAAAACGCCGAAATGAAATAACAAATATAATGAATGCCCTTATTCCAATCAAATTATTTAACATTTATAATGTTAATTTTGATGATGATGATGAGAATCAACAAGATATGAGTAGTGAAATAGAACTTAATGATGGTGATGTAGGCAGTGGTGCTTATCGGTCTATTATATCTATATTAGATATTATAGTTCCTATTTTAACAACTTTAACATCTCCTGTTTTAAAAGTTGGTGATAAAATTAATATAAAATTAAGTGGAGACGGAAGAAATGTAGGAAGAAAGCAAAAGCATGTGATGCTTACTATGTGTATTCTTAATGAAGAAGAAGCTGTTTTGAATCCCGCTCATCAATATAGGTATCATATATTATTAATTTTTTAATTTTATCATGTACTACTATACAAGTGTTACAGAACATAATTTATTAACATACATTAATATTTGTTATACAAAGTATTTGTTTATATATAGGGAAAGAATCTTATGATTTTTTATCTATCGTATCAATCAAATTTTCACACGAACTTGAAAAATTAAAAACTAATGGATATAAAGATTCAAATAATACAATTTGGCCAGTTGAATTATTTTTTTCGGGTGATTGGAAATTTGTAGCATTAGTTATGGGAATCAATGCTGCAACATCTAATTACTTTTGCCTCTATTGTAATTGTCATAAAGATGAAAGATATAATATGGATAAAGTATGGTTAAACTCAAAAAATATGCGTGGTATGTATTTAATTATGATATAAATTTTATTTAATATAGTAAATTAATAATTAAATTTATTATAGGATATAAAAATATGATGCTTTTTCAAGAAATAGATCAAAGTAATTGGATTACAGATGAATTACATCTTATGTTGCGAATTTCAGATGTACTTTTTCAATGTTTATTTTATGAGCTTGTCAAACAAAAAGATTTTGCAAATAATACACAAACATTAATACTTGCAGAAATGAAAAGATTGCATATTCATTTTGAATTTTACCCTCCTACTACAAAAAATGGAAAATG